GATGGCGCTTCTCACTGACTGCCTTCAAAACGTCTGAGAGTTTACCACGTTTCCGGTCCGATGCTGGAAAGCACTATCAATACAATGTCAGAAGATAAAAATTAGGTTTGTTCAACAAGGTTTTCTGTTGCTTCGATCATATTGCGAAAATCAATTTAAATCAAAATATTACAGCTAAAGGAGCCTGCGACCAAACAAAAAGCCCCATCATCTTGGTCTTAATGTCTACCAAAGCTCTATAACCTTATGATATTCGCCATGCCTGCCCCACTCTTCGAGTTATTCTGAAATCGCTTTCTATGTTCAACTGAACGTTTTGCATTTCTTTGTTTGTTAGGACTAGGCTAAGTTGAAGTCACAATATGGCCTAGATTATTAATTACTTTTATTTTTGACGAAATTAAATTTTTTTTCGGCATATTATGTATTGGATTACTTTGAAAAAAATTAATAGTTTATACTGACTCATGTTTTTATGCCTTTTTAATTATGCTAATATGGTATTGGCTATCTTGAGCGGAAATGTCTTTTTATTTGTAGTCATTCAAAGCTTGAGTTATTCTGGCCTGAGTTGCCTGTCCATTACACAGGCTCTCATCTTTACTATTTCGCAAAATGGTCAAGGTTTGTGTGGTCGGCTGCCTTCATGGAGAGTTAGATAAGGTGTACGCGGATATCGCATGCGCTGAGCAGCGATACAACTTTTCCACCCAACTTGTCCTCTGCTGTGGTGATTTTCAATCTCTCCGCAATCCCTCTGATCTTTCTTCAATTAGTGTTCCACCGAAGTACTATCGCATGGGTGACTTTTGGCGGTAGGCTTCAACAAATTAGCTTCTTTATATCGCGCTTTCTGAATACAGCTTGATATCATCCTATCACTCTACTTCCAGCTACTACTCTGAAGAAATTAAAGCACCGATTATGACTCTGTTCGTTGGAGGCAATCATGAGGCTTCCAACTATTTGCAGGAACTGCCTTATGGGGGCTGGGTGGCGCCGAATATTTACTATATGGGTAAGCTTCTCAAATTTATTAGGCGCTACGAAGTTCCATTTTTGCCTCCATAATTTGTATTGGCTCACCGCTTGGTTATCTTTTTAAGCGTTGTACAACATAACCTTCATTTCTTTCATAGTTGGGTTGAGCTTTATCGCTTATTTTCTGTTTCTTGAGATTATTTTCGAATATAATGAGGCATTTCGGATTTAAAAAGATAGATTTCCTCTCGATATTCGAAGAAAAAGTGGGTTTT